CTTGTGTCCTGTCGTGCATCTAGAGGCCATTCCACCTGCCTCGACTTCCGCCACCGGAAAACGGTTGCCCAAGTCTGGCGAATTGAGAGAAAATTGTGAGGGTACCGACTCGGACTTCACCCTATCCCCAGATCTGCCTGGGGTCAAGGATGGTGAGTGCGTTGTGACGCGGCGAAAAGCTATGACAAGTACCGATGTAAGGACCCCAAAGAAAAGTACGCCTCCATCGACGCAGACCAAGGCCGGGAAGAAGAAAGCGGATTAAAATTCAGGGCCTGATATCAGTCTTTTCAAGACCACACCGATGCTGCAGCCTGCACCTTCGACGTCAGATCCACTTACTGTTAAGCCACGAGAAAAGCGAGCACTACAGACGATCTCTGGGACCTCATTCACACGCTAGATGTGCTGTACACAAAGCAAAACCTTGGAGGTCGTCCTTACAGCTGAATCACAACATTCGCCAGACTATCGAGTTCCGCTCCAGAACGAACCCATGAGACTCTGCAGAACATTAAGAACGCAAGCAGTGCAGAGCACATAAAAACGAGACGTTGGTTTGACGCACTGGCGATCTTCCTGTTTGGTTGTTAATGACCACGCAGTCAAAAACTGCCAAATGGGGGATGGCTTTGCACGTTCAGAATTCTTATAAATACATTGTGCATTTCGCACAAACTTGAAACTTCTGAGCGGTAAAGCAAAACCTTCACATATACAAAGGTGTATTCCATAGCGAAGCAACGGAATTGTGTTTTCCACATCAGTTTTTGGTACCGGTATATCGCAGACCTACCGGTATATACTCTTCCCCCGCTTGCTGCTGGCCACACGTGGCGCGTTCCCTCACTTCGTATTTGGAAGAACAAGCCGCAAACAGCCAAAAAATACCCGCCTCTCCTCGCCCCTTTTCGGATCGAGCTGATGGTTATTGCATAAGCTCTCATTAATGTATTTGTTCGTGTGACCCCTAAAGACTGTGGAAATCAAGTCACAAGCCCATCACGCCTTTTGAAAAAAAAACATCTGTTGTTTGGCATGTGGCTCAGCCAAGAATCGTACTTAAAAAGGGTTCATAGTCAAACAAGAGATTTGGCTCACCGGAGATTGAACCAATCACGCGCTGTAATTTGGAGTATGTTTCTTTGAGAGTAGTATAGTACTAGGGAAAATTGTCAATTTAGTAGCCGCTTTGAGCAGCTTGCACACTTTGGTCAATATCTTCAAGAGGAATACTTGTCTGGTCCGAAAAAGAATTAACAGTCCTTTAAATCGGCGATAACTTCGGTCGTACAGCTCCAACGGAAGGGTGGTTGAGCTAGTTTGAAAGCTCTACTTACGTAGCGTCAGCACGATTTTTTATATGAACAAATTTCCCGCCAATTTTTCCAATACCTGACCATTTGAACTATCACTTTATGGAGGGGTAGAGTTTTTTATCGCTGTGACGTCAAAAATAATCAGAACTAAACTTTAAAATATACTAGAGAAAGCGCTAACGAAGCTTAATCTAGTGATATATCACTAAAAGCAATTGAATCCACAATTACTCTCAATCCGTAATTATGGCATTAAACATGGTGAACCTTGTCATTGGATAGATAAACCGGGAAATTATTGACGCAAAATTGCACACGGCATTCATCACTACCCCTCTGCATCGAGCGCAGCGGCTAGTGCCGGGTGATTGAGCACTCTGTTCATAGCCTGCAGCCGCTTGATCGGATCAAACTCCAGCATTTTGGACAACAGGTCCAGCGTCGCCGTGGAGAGTTGTGTGTCCATTTCCCAAGACCGGAGAACGCCCCTACAACCCAATGCCTTAATCGCGTTAAACTCGGGGTCTGCTGGTGATGCGAGCTCCAGTAGAGGCGCGCCCGTCAGCAGCATGAACAGCACGATACCGAGTGACCAGACGTCGGCCGTCACAGGGTCGTAGCTCGCTTCAGCCACGACCTCGGGTGCCACGTACTGTGATTTGCCCACGCAGCCACTGGCACGTCGATCAGCGCGAGTGCTGAGACCAAAGTCACCGATCTTGTGGACGCCGTCACGTGTGACGAATACATTCTCGAGCGAGACGTCGCGATGCGCGATGTTGCAAGTATCGTGCAAGAAGTGGAGCCCACGTGCTAAGTGCTGTACGATTCGCAGTGCATGGGGCTCGCTCAGACGGCTTTCGGGCTGCGTGGCCACGAGATCGGCCAGTAGGTCGCCGCGTGCGCAGTGCTCCATGACCACGAAGACGTGTGAGCGCTGTACGAAGGTGTCAAAGATCTGCACGACGTTGGGGTGGCCTTGCGCGACGCCACGCAGATGTCTGGCGGTCTGCCACTTCTCTCTCCGGGGACCGCGGCAGGCACCCGAAAAACCTCTCGCGCTGCAGCTGAACCCGCGCACTTGACCACCCACGCCCTCCCTATGAGCGTCCGTAGAATTCTCGGCGGGGCGACTGTAGATGTGGCCCAGGTAGATCTGCGGCGCGAGACGAGAGCTCACTTTGATGTGGCGGTGTGCATTGGAGTTAGAGTTGGCAGTACGGATAGCGCTCTGTTCTCTGGGGTCGCCACTGCTGCTTCGATTCCTACTGCTGCGTGCGTGGGCCAGAGTAGAAGTCATGGCCTGTTGCGTGGGGAGACTTGGTGGTCGCTGTCAGTAGGTGGTTTGTGGCTTTGGGCGGAAAGAGGAAAAGTGTTGGTGCGAAAGGAGGAATCGATCGAACTTGAAGTAGCGACAACGCTAACGTAGACGGGCCCTTTTGTTTTTGCCACGTCGCATGCTGTCACTTAGGGGCAGGTTCTTGATTGAAATTGGCGAATCCGGCCAAAGCACGTCGCCCGCGTCGATTTGATAAAGCCGTGTGCTTCGATCGAAATGACAGCCTTCTTTCCGCACGACACCTCTGCTGCAAGAGCACCTTTCTAGCTCGTTTAGCTGTAGGACTGACAGGAATTAAAGTTATAGGCAGCTGTAGCTAGATCTCGATTGGATATCGTTCTTGGACGTCGCAGATAAGGTGGATTTCTTCCGCCGCTTGAATCTCGCTGGTAAAGACAGCCGCTGCTTGCCGCAGTGCAGCTTTCGCTCTTCTCCGCTGACGCTGCGTGACGGAGATTCCGATTTTGAGTGCATACATAGGTGGCGTCTACGCTTACACCATCTGCCGGTCCAGTAAAAGCCCCCAGATGATTGGTTATTAATTTCTGTCCAATTGAGCACATTTACACTGAGCCACACGATGGCTCTGCAGTTGGCGGCCCGTAGAAATGCTGCGCGTCTCCACCGCGCCTTCTCCGCTGCTTCAGCGCCCGGTCCTCCATCCGCACCGAACTCTAAGCGATGTGTAACCTTGGTGCGCTTTTATCGTCCTCATTACTGCTGCAATGACTTAAATCAGCTGAACCACTCTTGTACCACCATTTTAGTCCATTGACAAGCTCAATGCCCACGGCGACGGCATCGGCACATATACCTCCCAGGACGGTGCGATGATGCAAGTGGTGGTTCCGTTTGCAGCTCCAGGTGACGAGATTCAGGCCGAACTTTGGGATCGCGACGTGCAATCGAGAGATAAATGGGCGACAAGACAACCTCAGGATACCTGGCCGATCTTCGGGCAGCAAGTGGCTCTGTCCAAGCCCAGTGGCCACCGAATACAGCCTCAATGCAGCAAATACTTTGGAATCTGTGGTGGATGCAAACTGCAGCACGTAAGCTACACGCAACAGCTTCGAGAAAAACAGGAGTGGATCCGCGAACTATTTGCTGATCGAGGGCACTCGCCAGACATGAAAATTCGCGACATTCTCGGCGTAGAGACCAAGGAAAACAATGGTGGAGTTTACAGCTACCGGAACAAGATGGAATTCACATGTAGCACAGGTCGCTGGCTACTGGATGGAGACAAACCTACGAGCGATGACAGTGAAGCTCCACGCTATCCGTTTACAGTTGGGATGTTTCCTGTTGCGTCGGTTAGCGCTCGACGGTCCAAGCAAATTCATGGCAAGAGCAAGGCGCGTCGACGTCGTTCTGCTGTGTGGAGTCCTCGAATTTTGTCGCTAAATGAGTGCTTGCTACAAGCTTCAGCTTGCAATCGATTGCTGCAACAGCTGGTGGCAAGATGCGAAGACGTGGGACTACAAGCCTATGATTTCAACACGCACGAAGGCTTTCTGAAACAAATTGTGTTGCGTCGCGGTGTAAATTGGCAAGGCCGCACAGAGATCATGCTGGGCCTGGTCACAACAATGTTCGAAGGAGAACAGAGCGAGCTGCTTCAGAGCATTGTACAAGATCTTGTGCGGGAGCATCAAAGGGAATTACTTACTGAGACCAAAGATGCTCCACAGCTTGTGTCTATTGTTGAAAGCTTGGACAGGGAAGCTCAACGACACAAACATCGGAAGGATAGCGAACCATTTGAGGATACGAAGACGGAGCGTGTTCTCTACGGCAGCTCTCACTTCGAAGACTCGATCTTGAGCCACAGATTTGAGGTTACTTTCGACTCGTTCTTCCAACCCAACTCGAACCAAGCCAGTGTGCTCTACCGTGAAATTCAACGCATGATGGCAGCTTTACCGAAGAAACCAGTGGTCTGGGATCTCTTCTGTGGTGTGGGCAGTATCGGTATTTGTATGGGAGCTTATGCCGAGAAAGTAGTGGGATTCGAACTAGTCGACGCAGCAGTGGAGCGTGCCAAGGTGAATGCCCGTCTGAATGGCTACTCTGCCGATCACATGCAATTCTTTTGTGTTGACTTGGCCAAAAGCTGGCAAGAAGAGGAGTTTCTCGACAGGATTGCTTCTCACTCGGATGGCGGTTCATCTTCTTCGAATCTACCAGATATAGTGATCGTGGACCCTCCTCGAGCTGGATTGCAAAAAAAGCTGATCAAGATGCTGCGCCGACTAGCCCCACGCCATATTTGCTACGTATCGTGCAACCCCCACTCTCAGGCTCCTGACCTCGAAGCGTTTTGCGCCAAGGTGAAACCTGAAATGGGTGAAGTAGGCACGTACAGAGTGCGATACTTGCAGCCAGTGGATATGCTTCCGCACACTCCGCATATTGAGACGGTCGCGTGGCTCCTTAGTCACAGTGGGTTTCCATTACTTGAGTAATGCTAGTGACTATAAGTCACCTGTAGTGAAGCTTTGTAGTTAGCCAATGGCTGGCTTCTGGATCCCTGGTACCATTTACAAGGCATCCCGAAGAATGAAGTCACACTTCATGTAGCCTTGGGGTCCTCTTGGTATGTACCCCGTTACAGAAACCCACTATAGTTGGTCCTGTATTTCATTGTACAGCCAATCCCCTCGATGGTAATCTCTAGACTTGATTAACCCCTCCAAACCGGAAACCAAAAGTCACATTCAAACTGCGTTATGCAGCTTTATTAAACTTGGTATTTGTATGTAATGGGATAGGTGTCGCTCGCTCATAAAAAATCGGGATTTGCAAAACTGCGCAGAGCAGCGATTAAACTACCCAAACCTGCATATTGGTAGTAAGGTTTCCACATGTAAATTGCATTATGCAGTATAAAATGAAAACAGTCAGGACGACTCCCGAAAACATAGGAACAGAACTAGCTCAGTCTACAGCTCTCATTTATAATTTTTTGAAAACTGAAACTTCCTTTAAAAATTCCTATAAACAAAGTTGGGGTGTCACCCCTATCAAGTAACGCAAGCAAATGACACGAGACTGTTTGTTTTCTGGTCTATACAAATTCGAAGAGTGCTATATATGTGGACACCACAGCTGTTTGAACACGACTCGACTGGAGCAGAAACAGGAGCCTTGTGATGCACTTCGAGATGAGCTTACACGAGAACAGACATGCGATGCTACACAGCTGTGGATCAAAACTTACGTGGTTTGACTTATCCTGAATATTATGCACCTTAAAGACAAAAAAATATGCAGGGTAGAAGTTACGTTGTCGTTCGTCGCCTCTTGGAAGGTGCTGGCGTTGCAGGAGTACTCGGAGTCAATGGAGTACTAGGTGTTTCAACCGGTTTCTGGTGCATACGAATCCCTTTGCCATTTTCGAAAAGAATCAGCTTTCCGTTCATCCACTCCTTGTGCCACACATCACAACATGTCATGGCGACCCCACGCACTTGTCGGCGCGCCCGCATGCAGAGGTAGACTGGCCCTTTGTCGCTACCGTCATCACAATAGTATGTAGTTGTTGATGCTCGCTGGGTGTCTGTTTGAAGCCGCGAGTACACCTTTCATGTCCTTTGCCGTCTTTTCCCTTGTGTTCCTTCGTTTTTCCATTCATCTACTTGACGGGCAGCGTGCCCAATTGACTGGTTTGGGACCCGGTACATATGCAGGCCTGGCTTGGGGTGGCTGGGTGCCGAATGTATTGGACTCATACATGTCTGTTGCTTGTAGGCGACACAGCTGAAGGTGGAGTTTCTTCATGTACTTCACGTGGGTAAGTGGCCCGTGACTGCTTGTTCTTCTGAAAGGCCCTTATGGACTATGTATCCATTTACATTACTCAAGTCAATGAGCCCCAGTGCCAACGACTTATAGTATTTTCTAAAACCGAGTGCACGCTGGAGAGAATAACGCTGCAATCTCAGCTGGTCATGGACATCCACGCCACCCATGCTTGATAATCGTTTATGACTCTGGGGCATGGCACTTCCTCTTGCGTGGGACCATTCTGTCGCACCACCCAATCCAGTTCAAGGCTTCCTCACGTGCTGAGAAGGGTACAGGACGAGAATCCCACCAACATATTGCTGACATATTTGGCACGAGCTTAGAAGTAGCCACCTTGAACGACCCACGCGTAATCCCGGGTGGACGAGTCTTCTTCTTCTCGACGACACCTTCGCACTGTGGTGTAGTGATTTCTCCGTGGTTGCGGATTATCACCCGTCGACAAAGACGTGACACCGCCCAAGTTGTTCAAGCGACGAACCCTCGGTCGGGTGATGTACGGAGACGCCAAGGTGCAAGGGACTCGACGGCGTCACCTCCGAGTTTTCAACAAGTATCGGATACGGCCCTATGTCACTGAATCCAGGCTGTCCTTATTATTAATAATGGACTGGATTCAGCGGACCATCTACGGTACGAACCCTCAGTGGCGGTTGGGATGAGTTCGCAAAATACTCAGCGACCTTTGGAAGACACGTTCACCGTCTGGGACAGGGCGCGGACCGTTAAAGATGCTCATGCGACAGTGCAGACGACGCTTGGCATGCAAGAAGATCCATAACGGATCATTGTTCACTTGATATTTGTATACTTGATTAGGACTTCTTATTAGGAATAGACCCGAAAGGGTAAGCTTAAATACAGAACAGAATTTCCACTCAAGCACACAGAGCGACGTCCGGCTTCAAGGTAAGCGTCAGGTCAAGCTTGTTTGAGTGTGTTATGCCTGTCGGTGAACTCGAAGCTCTGTAGCGAGGGTTCATCCGGCAAGGCCAAGAGACTTTGTGTATTGGCCGATTATTATCGGGAGGTTTTACGTGACGGCTTGTTGTTGCCTATTTGC